TTTCCACAAATCACTTTTGCTTCCCCCCCTTTTAAATCTGGTTTGATGTTAAGAAGGGCTGAGTTGATCTCCCACACGGTGTGAATTGGTTGACAGGGTTGCTTCCTCTGCTGGAGGGAAATGTGTGAAATGAATACAGACTACATGTGAACAAATGCACACAAACAGCTAAATGTTAGGTGGTGGTAAACAAAGCAACACTTCACATTTAGCTGAGTCAAATCTCAGACGACTCTTTTTACTACTTTGGGGTTATGAATGAACTTTAGTTTTATGTAAAGAAACCCGAGCTGCCATCCAAAGTTGAGGTTCTCCTTCCACTTGCCGACAAAGTAAATCATTTTAAACAAGGTGAGAAAACTCAAAAGGCTGTTTGAATCAAGAAAAATTCCTGACAGATGGAAATCTTTTTCCTTCTTTTCAAATCTGATACTGCACAGCACTGTGTTGGTTCTTTATCTGCTGTATCTGTTGCACTCAGTTTCTGCAAACATTACACAAACTCTTAGCATTTTTCCCCCAGAGATGAACTAAATCTTTTTGCTTTCAACTTCCAAGTTAGAAAGCGGCCACCAAGCAGATCGTACTGCAGCAACATAAGAGCTGCCTTTCAAAAAGCAGAGTCAAAGCTTTTTGTCGAGGCACTGAATTTAGGATTTGTCCTGTCTCTTGTTATATAGCCAAACTGTTCATATTTAAAAGTACTAACTTACCATTCTCCAAAAGCCTAATATTGACCCCAAATGACCCTTATTRTTTTTGGCAGATGCAGTAAAGTCCCTGTTCAGTTTGACACGTATGCGGGCATATCTAGAAACATCTTATTGCTGGGTCCAAAAATAGAGAAATTAAACACATTTTCTGAAATGTCAAGTCCTGTAATGTATACGTAATGTTCAAGTTTTGTTCTCATTTTGTATGTTTGGTTTGTATTGGGTTGAAGAGTGGGGAAAGTTACAATGTACTGTACCACAACAAATTAATTGCTTGTTATGTAGTGGAATAACTGTATTGTTATTCATGTGACATTTTGTTCTCGTAACCTTGCTATTGCTTGTAAGTTGTCTTTACTTGTGGAAATAAAAATGCATGCTATTTTTATAAACCAGATTTTAGGAGACTTTTTCACAAGATTAAAACACTCTGAGTGAAATATGCATCATTGTCACTTGGCAATGTAAATGCAGAAAGGTATTAAAGGGGCAATATCATGTAAAATCAACTTTTTTGAGTTTTATATCATGTTATAATGTTACACTCTCATAAAAAACATGCCCAAAGCCTTGCTCTGACTCATTCATGCATGTTTGAGAAATCCTGCAGCGTTTTTAGGCAGCCATGC